TTTAAAGTATGTGTGAGCACTGCAAAGCGTTGCTTGTGGAACCATGGCGGCAAAACAGAACCGTGCTCCAGCACTATGTATACATACTGATCTTGAAGCCTGCTTGTACGATAAATACTTCTAAGATTTTGAACCTAACTAACCACCTAGCTAAAGCACTTTGCTCCCTCTGACTGATGAGAACCTCCCAGCCTGTGCCGAGCTTCCCAGAAGTGCTGGGAGAGAATAGGTAGTGAAAATCTGACAGACCAAAGGGCTTATTACCTACAGAGACCGCAGAAGCAGACTGCAATTTTGGCTATTTTAAACAGACAAGTATCTTGAGCAGATTCAGATCAACTCCTGTGATTCTTTAAGATAACCCTATGACTCCATATAAATATATGCACTGATTTATGATAACACTAGCTACAGAATAAACTGAAAGATACACAAGACTTTTTCAGGCAGTGGCGAATGAGCATTGCAATGTCATGTATACAATCTAAACAAAATACCTATCTAATGTTAATCGAATGGAAATTTAGCAATTTAATTTAGTGTAGTTGTTCATATTGTTCCAGATTATTTTTTCTGGCTCTAGGCAGTATCTAGATGTCATTGGAAAAGCCAAAAGAAATTAAAAATGGGATCTTCTAATCAGGATGCAGGTTTTCTTACAATTATTAAGCAAGCAACAGAACACTGAAGTGAACAATACAAAGAGGTTTATGAATTCAAGCTGCTACAGGTTTCTGATGGGTCTCATTGATATTGCCTTCAATTAAGTCCTTGTTATTTATTTTATACAGATACCTCTTAGGAATCCACTGTATAGACTCTAAGGTCAGAAGACTTTATGGACAGAAAACATTGAGAACTTTCACGGTTACAAGCATAGCAAAAAAGTATGCTTTACACATTAGCAGTAAACAGCACTCTGACGAAAGGGAATACATTTCTTACATGTATGAGAATGTATCACAGACCTCAGACATAACAAACAATGTGCATGCTATACTCTGTCATGCTTCTGAGAAAATGCAAGTACATCCTTGCTACATAAATTATTAGTCACATTTGATAATTTGGGGTGGGGTTCGGATTTCCAAAATTAAGTAACTTTGTGTTTTTTCATTAAGTTTGGAGATCTAGATTAAAGATCTATAGCCAGATTTTTTAAATTTGAATTTGCACAGACCTTAACCTAGGGATTAAAAAAATCTAGCTCTAATATCACATATATGCAGAAATGGATTTCTAAGGATGTAGATCCTGTTTAACAATCAGCTATTTTCAGTGAAGATTTGTAGGTTCAGATAGGCATTTTGTGCCTTTCAAAATAGCTATAAAAAGATACAGTTCCACAATATTTGTCATTGGGCAGATGTGAGACTTCTCAGCAGTATGGAGTAGAAAAGCCTGTGTGATTACTTGAGAAAAATGTTTATTTATAGGTTTTGTTTAAATGGGATACACTGAATTATCCAGGGAAAATAAAAGGAAAACATGTGCCATTAAAAATACTTCTTTTCCTAGCTCATTCATTAAATATTACGCACCCTCAAATAAAGGAAGAGTAACATATATCAATGCAAATATATGCCAAAATGCATATATTGGATATTTTCATGGGAGTAGAGGTTATCTGTAGACAAAGGAAGACTTAAAAGCAAACAATAAATTAAGAATCATGGCTGTGCCGTAAAGAATACATATTATACATATTTTTTCATCAATGCCTGTCTCTCAAGAGTTTCTAATTCTTGTATCTATGAGATGATAAACAGTTGGTTAAGCAGCTGTTGTTATTTATTTCCATCTTGTAAAACATGCAAACCCCCACCAAAAAATGGGGAAAGACCCTGAGTTCCATCCTTGCTGCACTCATCAGTAAGTAGGTTTTGGGCTCCATCGGTACAAGCACGTTCCTCCAAGCTATTCCATGGCACTCCTGTCAAATGCAATACCCATGGCAGGCTCATGCCCCTTTGAGTTCCTGAGTGTTCCAGATTCATATTCCAGAACCACACGTGGCTCCCAAGAACCTCTTCAGCCTGGACAACAATAACAAGAAGGGATCAACAGTACCCCCGCGTAATTGTTATAACTCTGCCAGAGGTTCCTATGGCACATTGTAAATCAGGAAACCGCTTTGTCCCTCTGCCCCGGGCTCCTTGCTTCCTCTGGCAAGAGCTCATCCTGGTTTCCTGCTCACACACCTTGCCTGTGAGAGGACTGGATGATTTTCTCTTAGCTGTCTTGTTTCCAGGCTCTCCTGCTCTGCAGTAGCCTCTCACTCGAGGAAATGCTTGGGAGACACTTAAGAAGAGGATGGAGCAGCCAAAACACCTGCTGTCTAACTTCAGGTCAGGAAAGGGCCTCACCAGTAGCACCGCAGGGACAGAGCGAGAAATCGCAGCTCCATCCCACCCCCCACAACTGCTGGAACAGAAAAGGAAGGGCAGACAGCGAAGGTGACATCATCCTGCAACAAATGTATGCCCTGCCTGGGAAAGAGCAATCATACAGACATCATCCCCTTCCACACCGTGCAAGCAAGCAGGCTTTTATCCTGCACTTCACAGCACAGGGATTGCAAGTGGGGGAAAAGAGGCTTGTTGGGCCTTGGCAGCAAACCGAGGGCATGAGACAAGTGCCAGGGGCCAAGTCCTTGGGGCAGGGAAGCAACATTGAAAAAAAAAAAATCAGAAAAATTAGCAGCTTACAGCAGGGAATAGGTATTAATAAGAGACTTTTACATTTTAATTGTCACAGAAATGAAAAGCGTATCAGAGAAACATAAACCGGAAGGAAAAAAAAAATCCCTTTCCCCATTTTTCAGCATTTTTTTAATGTCCTCTTTTCAAAAAGTATATTCCTTCCTTTTCCAACAGAAGAGGGCTAGAGTTAAAAGAACAAAATAAAAATAAAACAAAAACAAAATGCACACAGAAATAGAAACTGAAAGAAATTCAAGGTGGTGAGGAAATTAAATGTCCACCAAGCCTAGTGTGAAGCAAAATTTCCTCACATGCTGATGTGCCACTACAACTTACTCCATTTGTTTTGAAGGGTCTTCCCCGTTTTTCAATCAGCTTGTGTGTAAGCCTATGAAAAAATTCTTGAGGCTCCTAAGCAAAAAAAATAAAAAAATTCAGGACTGATACCACCCCTAACCGATTATAAAGTTCCTGCATTGTATGAAGCCATCCCAGTTGCCCTACTTGTGCTGCTATTTTATTTCCTTTTAAATGCACAGCAAAGGCAGAACACTTCCCTCTCATTGGGAAGACATACTACTGGTACAGATTGCACTTGAAAAACGCATAGTTCCCCAAGAAAGCCAGAGCCCCGGCTGGCACATTAGCAGTGCCTGGGCACGGAGGCTGCCCAAGGCTCCCGCAGCTCAAGGATGCATGCAGAATGAGCCAACATAATGAATACAGTTTGCGTTGAAGGTAACATGGTTTATTTCTTCATGATATTCAGATTAAAATGTATCAATGTATTTAGCACAATACTACATTTTAGGACAAAATCATCAGTGCTTTGCAAGTCTTCATAATGTTTATTCATTATAAATAGTAAATATTTACTGAACTTTATACATGAAAGACATTTGTTTTTTGTTTTCTTTTCTGTTGGGTTTTTTTTTAAACACGTGTGTTGTTGTAGAGGCTGCAACACAAAGATAATATTTCATTTTTCCATCACCCTTAAGACCAATGCGTGAACTAACCTCTGTACTGAACCTAGTCTAACTCACTACTTCATCATCCTTAACGCTAAAAGGAATGTATTTGTGTTCTGCCTCCCTCTTTGTTCCAAGAATAGAGAGAAATAAATAACACCGCCTTCCATCTTCCTCTTCCTCTCAACATCACAAAACACAAATTTATTGACATTCTAAAATGTCACAATGCAAACTTCTTGTAAACCTTGGTTCCTATAATTATATTTTCTATATTGGATATCACTGTATAATTTAAAAAAATGTGTCAAATACAGGTCCATCTCTGTCCATGTCCCGTACATCACTAAAAAAAATGTAAACGTAATCATTTCTTCGGATTGTTTCCTGAAAATGACCTTTAAATCATGATTAGCAAGCTGGATTTTAGTTGTCCAGCAGACTGCAACATTTCTGTATTTTATCATCAGGAATTATGCACTGCAAAAATAAAAGTACCTGCAAAAATATAGTTCTGATTCTATCTATATGACTTTGGATGATCCCAAAGTTTGTGTGAGGTACACAGTATTGCACGTTGCTAGGCAGTCATGAAAAATCAGTCGCATTGTTGATTTTTTTTCTCCCATGTTTGTTTGAAAAGGTAAAACAGACTAGGAAAACTCCACATACAAAAAGGTAAAATCTGTTTTTCATGTTACACAAGACCTCGTCTCTTGGTAAAGCAAAACTCGTAAATGACATTTATTGACAACATGATTACAAAAACATGGTAAGGTAACCTATAAGTTGCTCAGGAAGTCTTTTGTGCTTATCCTAGCTTCCTATGGACTGTGACATTTCCTCTTGATGACAATTTCCAGTGTGTAAAATGAAAGAGGTTCTCCTGCCCTTGCTTCAGAAACTGAGCAGTTTTAAAGTTAGACTAAAGTCAGCACTGGATGAGTCCGAGTACGCAGAGCTCAACTGCTCTAGGTTTCAAAATGTTCCATTTGTCCCAATCAATGCACATTAATTTCAACAACAAAAAATGGAATGTTTTGCCAGGCAGTGATATTAAATACTGCTCTGTTTTGTATACCCACTCATAATGAACCATGTTGCATTTATTTATTCGTTATTGCTTTTGGCCTTTGTCTTCTGTATAGCTTTGTCCAGCCTTCAAAAGTCTACTAAAAGCTATGACTGGAGAGAACATAACAAGCCTGCTTCTCTCAATGGGACTGCCCCAGTTTAGACTGCAGTGTGTTGAGAAGATCCCTTGTATCCAATCCTTGGAGTGAGACCGGAAAACAAGACCAGCTTTAACTTGAAGTGGACAGTTCATTTATGCAATATCTGGCTTCAGATAATGAAAGGCACCTGCAAAAAAGCAAAAGAAGCTTTTTAAGTCATGCTGTGACAACCTCACAGCATGGGGCCATGCCAACTACAGGTTGACATTGTCATATTTAATACTGATATATCAAAGGAAAGGGACTAATATTTTTATTCCTAGGACAAGTTTGACAAAACTCTATGTATCTGGGATTATATACTGTAATGATTCTTGAGCTGACCTCATTAAGAACATGTGTTTCTAATAGTGGAATGCCAGTGGTTATTTCATTTTGGACAACCCTTATGTTTTACCTAATGGCAATCAGGTTTCATGTCTCAACAATTAATAACATCAAGATGTTGTTGACATCACTTAAGAAAATAATTATGCAGCAGAAATCTTGCTCAAACAACCAGCTATCTCACCAGTGCACTCTGCTCGGCTTTGGAGAGAAGTACAGTCAGCCATTAAGATCTCTGCTCATAATTTTCTCTGTTACAGACAGAAAGCACAGACCACTGATAAAGGGGTGCAGTATCGCACTTCACGGTGTGAGCATCCTGATACTCACTTTGTCCATATTGTCCATACTGGTAGCCTGTGACAGGGTCCATGCTGTAACCCGTGGTGCTGTAGGTTGGTGGGCAGTAGGACTGGGATGTGGGCAGGCTGTCTAAGCTCTTCATGTGATCTAGCCGCTGGCTGCAGCTGGCTGAGACAGTGGTGGTGGGCTCCAGGCCCCCAGTTAAAGGGGACAGGGCATAATCAGTTTGGGGCTGGTGCGGCACACCACCGTGGTTAGTCAGGAGTCCCATTACCTAAAAGGCAGAATAACAGAAAAGAGTTAATATAGGTGAAGAACTCTCTTGCTCACCGAGCCATGGGAGTTCTCAAGTCTGTCGTTTGATTTCCTAAAATAGGTGGACTTGGTATTGTGAATATCTAATCCAAAGAGGAAGTGGAATTTGGTTGCATCATCCACCAAAATAAAAACTGATGGCTAACAACCAAGAAAAAGGGATACCAAGGGCAAATAAGGAAAACCATTTTAAAAACTTTTATGATTTTAGAGTGCCTGACCCCATGCCCCAGCTGGGATCTCTGCAGATGTTTATTCCCTGAGGACTCAACTATAAGAGAATAAAAAGCAAGTAGAGGTTCTTTAGCCATGCTGTCCTGCATGATCTACAAACACAGAAAAGCTGTGAAAAAGCTCACACCATTGTTTTTTTCCCCAAGATCAGCACTCATTAAATTAATTTGGAGTGGATCACAGCCACCCTATCGATGGAAGTAACAAAGAATCCCAGCACCAAGAACAAGATGAATACGTGGTGAAGCGGCAAAGCAGCCATAACTCCTGCTGCCTACACGCCCTCTGCGCTGGCCCGTGAAGAAATGAATGCGAGAGAGCAAAGTGCTGGTCATAACACCAGTTTTCAACTTCATCCACTGAGTTAGAGGACACAACAGAAATGATCTGGCATTCCAGACCGGCTTCAAGTCAACGGTGACTCCCTTAACAAGCTACTTGTATATGAACAGTTATGAAATCAGCAGTCAAGATTAGTTGACAAGAGATTACTGGAAAATGCATGCTTGCCCCTATAAAAACCGAGCCCTCAAGGCCTTAATTTCCAGTAGAAAAGCAGAAAAAATTTCAAAAGCACCTGTGCTCTCAAGCAGGAGCAAAGGAAGCTACAGGGATAAGTTCCTGTTGTACGCAAACCACTCACACTAAGTTGGTCTGCATTTCCTTTCCCAGCACATCTCTATACCACATTTCGAAAAGAAGTAGTACTGAGAGAATTGCTTGCTTCTGCTGGAATAAGTTGCACTTCAAAGCCTGAGAAATAGTCTGCAGCTTATAATGGATGGATGGCGTACAGCTTCTGCCAAAACAGCACATTCTGATAATTTACAGATTGTTCTTCCTCCAGAAAGGCATTACAAATATCTGACATATGCTATTTGAGAATCATTTCGCTTTACTGCAGTTCTTACCATAAACTAAAAAGAAATTATTAAAATGGAGTCTATTTTGTAAAGAATAAGTCAATCCTCATATGAACATTCTTGAACTGTATTTATTTTCCATCACAAAAGGGATCATTATTGTAGGGAGCTTGTGGTCCCAGCTCTAAGTTTTGTTTGTTTTTTAACAAAGAAATGAAACAAGTCCCAGGGATCACACTTTAAGTAGGAAGACCTATCCCGGACTTACATGTTTGATAAGGAAAAGAGCAAGAGGCACAAGCAGAGTACTTCAAGAAGAGACCCCCCCCCAATACCTGCATCAAGAACACAAAGCATCAAGATGCACCCAAGACATCTCACCAAAAAAAAAAAAAAGCACCAAGAAGTTCAGTTACTACTTACAGCACCAGAACGTTCACTTGTTTCGCTAAGTAGAAAAACATGAGTTTAACTGATGGTATTTTCTGCATGTTTCACGAACTGAAGTATTCACACAAAAAGAAGTTTCAAAAAATATACAAAGGCTTCCTTTAGATACCGAAATCTTATAACTTGTAAGTTAAAGACAGAAAAGAAGAATTTGGATTCAGGCTATAAGATATTTTCTATTTAATTCAAATAATCTTTTCAATGCACAAAACCTATTAAAAGAATTTGAGGTTAATAAAAAACAACTTATAAAAAAATTCTGGAATCACCACAGATTGAAAAATCGTGTTATTTGCACAGCAACCTGCAGAGCATTTTGTCCTCAAACCCCCTAAAAGCTGAAATAACCAGGCTCTCAACTTTTTCTTCTAAAAATTGGTTCCTCGAAAGTATTAAAATTTCTAAAGATTATTTTAAGTAAGTTTTTCTATCTTAAGAATCACAAATCTTTTTCTTGTACCTTTGGAAAATTATGTGGTCCTGAAAATCTAGCCTGCTTGATGACCTGACATTGCATCAGCAGGACACAATATTAGAACCTACGTTCATTTAGGTTATATTAAACCTTGTCCTTTAAAATTAACACTAATAAAGTTAAAAGGAGAGAAAGATCGACAAAAAACATAGTTTAACTTAAACATTTACACTGAAAATTACTACTTTGGAAAATATTTACGTTGGCACAAGTATCATGGTTTTGACTACAGTTTAAGACACACATGGTTTATCAGAAATCTGAAATAAGTGCACAGCCCTTTCCATTCCCGCACAGCACCTATGTGATACTGATATTTATGGGGCTTTACCACATTCTGTTCCAAGTTCACGAGCAGAGAGAACGGGCTGGGTCGCGTCGCCCCTGCAGCCCTGCAGGAGCCCCAATGGCAATCTTCTCTGCGTGAGCGCTCTCACATCACACCCTGTCTCTACCTGGACTTCTAGGACCAATTGCTGAGTTGGGCAAATATCTATGTTACCAACTACATACTTTAACTAAACTTTTTTCTGTTTTGTATTTTCAACAGACTGGAGCCCAAGGCAACGTTATTTGGACTTTGCCAGCAAAGCCAATGAGCTCAATAACTTTGGGATCGGAAGTTATTTTAGAGTTTGAGATCAGCCTTGCAATTTAAACCTGGATCCAGACACAATCTCAAAAGCCACTCAAATTTTGGTAGCATCTATATTTGGATAGAGATTTCTCTTCTCTGACAAACTGAAATTAGCATTTGATGAGATTTACTTTAAAACTTTTCAATTAATCAGATAATCCAAGTCTTTAGGCATCTTTTTATTAACCGCATAAGCATCCAATAGACACTTTGGAGCAGAACTGACACAATGCTCTGTCTCTGAGGTGGAGAAAACTGAAGTCTGAACAGTAACGATCTTCTCAGAAATATCTTCTTCAGGGGCCTTCAGAATCATCCTGCAGTTGATTAGTATCTAAATAATTAGATTTTTGGTCATGCCTGTTTTGAAAGCTATAAGGGAAGTAACCTCAGGGCAGAAGCCTTTCATAGGGTATGTGCCATGACCTTATCACCCATACAAGGAGTTACAGGAAGGGCATGGCTGACTTTCACCTAATCAATTAGAAAGCCATTAATGGGCCATGCCTGCGAGATGCTCAGCACCCGAGATGCTCAGCACCCTCATCTTAGTGGTGTGCATAAAGATCTGGATTCTGCAACTCAGATCTTCTGCTGATATGAAACAGTATAGTTCTAAATAGGTAAACAGATCTGATGGGGTTACAATAATTAAGGAAGAAAATACATTTATTCAATCCATATACCATCCAAATTGCTAGAAAATATGTATTTCCCTCTTAATTACTCTGGGAAACCCAAAGTAGTAATCGTGAGCCTCACTGATCCAGATCCCAAAGAAGAAAAAAATCAAGGGCTGATCTAACACCTAGAGCCAAATGCAACTATTCATTTTAGAAAAGAAATCCTATAAATGAAAAAAAAAAAAATAATCAGGCTGTAAGCTTTTTGGCTAGATATATCTTGTTCCCACTTTTTACAAAAAACACGCAGAAATGTTGACACATAACCTTTGAGCAAATTCAATAAAAAGACAGTATAATTGATAAAATAACTATTCTATTAGACACAAAGGCGCAATTAGGTATAAGCAAAGAGAACACGGCGAACTGCAACAACCAAATGCTACAGAAAAGTTTTCAGAGAGCACATCCCAGGCAATCCAAAACATTCATTAGGCCAAACCCCTTGCTTGTGGGGTCAGCACAGCATCACTAGCTGAGGGTATGATCCGGAAAGAAGAGAGAAACTGAATGATGAAAGCCTTAGAGACCATGTACGCAACATCTGGTCCATCATCAGCTATTAGAAAATACTTCCATTATCAACAAAATAAAGGCCATTAAACCGAGAAAAAGCTTATTCTATTTAGATGAAACATCATGCCTGTTAATGTGGTTGGTATTTTAGAATGTAGGACCTACCATAGGCACAATAAAATTCTCATATGTTTTAATTCATTTACGCATGCCTGCATTTAATATGCTTTGTGACCATGTCTGCAATTAATATGATTTATGAGCACAGAACATGTGCAATATTTTTGGGTACAGTGATACATTTTTTTTCTCCTCCTGTGAACGAAAGATTTAATGAAACAGCTCAAGGAAAATTGTTGGCAGTTAACGTATTAAGTTGAACTGACAGAATCATGAGTAAACTTTAGTGGAGTTAATGATATCCTCTTATCTGACCCTGACACATTTGCAGCATGTAATTTACAGAAGCTCTGTCCAGGGAATCTTGACAAATGCTCCTAACGATGTCAGGGCAATGTTCCATTCTAATGTAAAACAGATGTGGGTCAGATACCCTCATTCATCACTAACACTGAAAATTTCAAACTCCTTCCGAGATGAATGGCATTACCTGCTGTTAACTCCTTTCACTGTAGAAAAATCTCTCAAAAACAAAATACTGCACAAGAGCGAACACAAGAAGGATGGTTCTCTTGCATTAGAATGAGACATTTTTAGAAGATTAATTTAAATCAGTTAGCCGCACAGACTTGCAGGATCCTAGAACCATATTGCTGATTCATTTTATATGAACAAATATTTCTGCCGAATAGATGAAGAAGCCCAAGAGAAAGCATTCTCGTGCCAAATGGCAAGTACTGGGAATGACATCCTTGGTTAATGAAAAGAGGAGCAAATACACTGACTTTGAACATCTGATGATCTGACCTTCTGCATACTCATATCAAATGAGACCTCATACTGATTTCACACCACTAGACATCAGTGGCAGCTACACTGAAATTAGAGAAGGTGCACTGGTGTACATTTAGGGTAATTAAGAGGATAACTCGATCCTTCATGAATTATATTTTTATCTACAGGAGATTACTGATGCTCACA